GCACCTGGGGGAAGGAGGACAGCTGATGTGTAGGCAAGGATTGTTATACATCCCACTTTCTGCAGGTGAGGGACCTGGGGCCCAGAGGTGCAGCCAGAGGGTCACACAGCATGAGAGGGCAGGGCAGGATTTGAATTCAGGCCTAGCAGACCATTCTATTAATAGCTAACATTTGGTCAGGACATTCTGTGCCAAGCACGGGTCTAAATCCTTTCCATGGCTGTTGCCATCTACACCCCAGCACAGCCCTATCAGGCAGGAGTGACTGGCTCAGTGTTGAGCGGGCAGTGTGGCATGGTGGGGCTCTGGAACCTGGGCTTGAATCCCGCTTCCAGCTTTTCAAACATACATGATCTTGGCCCAGTCACTTAACTCTTTGCCTCGGTTTTCTCACCTATAACCAGGTGTTATAGGTTGACCTGTGTCCTCCTGAATTCATCTGTTGGAGTCCTAACCCCCAGCACCTCAGAATATGACCTTAGTTGGAGATAGGGTCTTTAAAAGAGGTGACCAAGTTAAAATGAGATCATTTGGGTGGGCCTTAATCCAACATGGCTGGTGTCCCTCTAAAAAGGAGAATTTGGACACAGACACATTGAGGGAGACGATAAGAGAGAGATTCAGGAAGAAGATGGTTGTCTCCAAGCCACAGAGAGAGGCCTGGAGCCGATTCTCCTGCACAGACCTCTGGAGGAATGAACCCTGTTGATGCCTTGATTTTGGACTTCCTGCCTCCAAAACTGTGGGGGAACAAATTGCTGTTTTTTATAGCCCTCAATCTGTGGGACTATGTCGCAGCAGCCCTAGCAGATGCGTATACCAAGGCTGATAACGGTGCCTATCTCATATTGTGAGGATTATGAGGAAATACATGTAAAGTGCTTAAAAAGAGCCTGGCACACACTAACACTCCACAATCGGTAAGAATCAGGAAGCTGATGCTCAGAGAGGTTAAGCAACTTGCATAGAAGCACACAGCTCACAGCATCTGAACCCAAACCATGCTGCCCTGTTTGAACTCCAATTCAACTTCTCTCCTGAGGGCACTTCACTGGGGTTCCTGCCACCCTGGACCTGTTTGCCTGTAGTTGGTGCTCAACCACATTAATCCATCATCCTTTCAGAAGTCAGAAGGGAAGAAAAATAAAGCAGCAGGGAAGGGGGCCAGGCTGGTGGAGAAAGGATCTTACTCAAGCAAGTAATTATATATTAAGTGAAAAAGTTCTCTGGTGTGGTCACTGATTCAGCACTGCCATGTCTACCTGATGGATACACAGCCTGGCTGCCTTCCAGCGGTAAGAGCCATGTCAGAGTGTCTGCCATCAGTCACCTCTGCCACCATCCAGGTGTACCAGCCGGCATGTGAGGGCTGGCAGGTGGGCTGGGGCTGCTCTGGGCAGAAATCGATGCAATTCAGGATGCAGTGGCCTGGTGCCTAGTGAAGTGCTCACTGACAGGGTCCAGGAGCCAACCCTCAAGTTTCCTTGTCTGTAAAATGAGTGCCATGTGATGGAGGAGTCTCAAGACCTGGGCATATTCAAAAGCCTGTTGCCAAGTGGCAACTCCCCAGCTCTGCCCTGCTGGAGGCCAGAGAGGGTCAGAGTGAGGCTGCAGAGAGCATAGTCTTCTCCGACACCCAGGGCGGGAGCGAGGGCGCGACCCCTTCAAGGGGCACATCCCCGCCTCCTGCCCTGACCCCACACCCAGCACACACACTGGGGGCCTGCCGCCAAGCAGGTGCCAGGGACCACAGGTGAAGGTCAAGTCATAGCATTGCAGATGACCCGTGCTGCTCAGTCTGTGGCTGGGCTCTGGGGTGGTGAGCACCCTGTGAGTGTGACTTGGGGTGGCCTTGTGGAGCTCTCAGGGCCTCTCTCAGGGGTCGGTCTGAGCCTCTGGGTGTGGCAGATGTGTTTGCACTTCCCCTTAGTGAGTGTCTGCTCTCTCCCTTGGCCATGCGAGGCCCTGTGGGTATGTGCAGGTCCTTCTGGGCCTCATGCTCAGTGTCCATGTGTGACCGTGGATCTGCGTATGAGTGCACACAAGCATGTGGTGTGACACTTTCTCTGGCTCAGAGGCAGCTTGCCATGTGGGGGGCTAAGCTGGGGAATGGCTGCAGAGTTCTTCCATCTCCAGCACATTCTTCTGGGGCTAGGAGCATTGTTGTGGCAACCAGTGGCCACCTTGTCAAAGGAGTAGATGGGCCCTTGACCATGTCTAGGGGCTTGATCTGTCTCCGCACCCCATCTGGCCCTGAATAAGCAAGCAGTCCTACAGTCAGGCTGCCTCTTGTCCCCTAGCTCCTTGGCTCCAGAAGGCCACCTGAGCCTGGGGCCCCCAGCCTGGGCCTACACAGGGGCCTGGTGAGTCTGGGAATGGGCTTTATTCATTCTCATTCAGCAAATACTTATTACCCTCAACTGTGTGCTGGGCCCTGGAGACCCAGAGGCAACAAAGAGGTCAGTCAGAAGGAGGTTCTGGGTGTGGTTCTGATCCAGCAGTCCAGGATGAGCATATGGGCAGCGCTGCACCTGCGCTTGGGTAGCTCTGGAGCCCACCCTTCCTGCAGCAGCTCAGAAAGCCTCCTCTGAAGACCAGGTGGAGGAAAGGGAGGTGGGAGCTCCAAGCAGAGGAAATAGCAAAGGTACAAGATGTATAGGGTGGTACAGGGATGAGAGGGCATGAAAATTGCTTGACCTTTGCCCGACCCAGAACAATGGCTTGCATATGGAGTTATTGCTACTGCTCTGCAGAGGGGGCCAGCACAGCAAGTTGGGGGGTTGGGGGGTGCTAGGGGATTCAGTCTTTATCTGCAGGACCATGGCAGCCGTGGCTGGTGGCAGATGGGAGTGGGCTGGCCTGGCCAGGGCTTGGGGACTGGCTTGGGGGGGCATGAGTGGACTCCAGGAGACCTGGGAAGGGTCTGCAGCATTCCTCCCAGTGAGCGGTGATGGGGGCCAGAGTCAGTGAGGGTTGAGGGGAGGACAGCGGGACATCCTGGGGAAGTAGAGCCCGAGCTTGGTGACCTGCTGATGCACCCCGCAAGTGGAAGGAGGAGCTGATGGTGACAGTCTGTGTCCGGCTTGGGTGCTCCGTGTGCTCCACAACCTGAATCCTCCTTGACGCTCAGGGCCAAGTGTTGTGGGTTGATGTCGTGGGCTGGCTCCAGCCATAGCCTTTGTCCCCCCACTTCCTGGTAGGGCCTTGAGGGGGTCCCTTCCCTTCCCTGAGACTCCTCATCTCTAGGTGGTAATAAGGGGCCTCCTAGGGGCTCAGCACTTGAATATTTCAAGGGATGGCATCACCTCCTTATTGAGGGACTCCCTTGATTGGAGGGGCTTGGAGTGGGGAGAATGGGAGACTTGGGGTTCCCTTGGCCAGCTGCCAAGATACCCCTGCAGAGTGGCCTAGGGCACAGGCTCATCCCTTCAGGGCCTTTGGGAAGGCCCAGATCCTGCCTTGAGCTAAACTTAAGTCTGGAGGGTGTGTGTGTATGTGCATACACGTATGCTCACATGTGTGCATCTGAACAACAGATAGGAACCTGATCCCTGCCAACCCCCCTCCAGATTATTTTGCTGCCTCAGGCATCTGCTGTGTTGGTGAAAGACTTTCCCCAGGAGCCTCAAGTCCTGGCCTCGATCCTCTCCCTGTGGGCTTGCTGTGTGTTCTTGGGTAAAGCCCTGGCCCTCTCTGGGCCTCAGTATCTCCATTTCTAAAATGAGATTTGGTACAAGTCAGAGGCTGCACACTGGTGGCCCAGAGGCCAAGTTCATCTTGTGGTGTGTTTGGTTCCTTCCTCATGGTGTTTGTCAACATTCCAAAAATGTGGGAGTTTTTTTTAATAGCCTGGGATGTAAAATCACAGGGTCTGGCCAGGAGGAGTCCCACGTTTCCATGTGGCTCTGATGGGGGAGTGTTGAACCATATTCTTTCTGAAGTTATGTTAATCTAGGCCCAGGCATCTGAGGTTTCACCACTATGGACCTGGGCTTTTTGATTTTTGGATTCAGCCTCTTAAGATTTGGCCTTTTTAATGTCAGTTTTGTTGAAGAGCCACTTTAGGAATAAACCAAAGAGAGGAAAATAACTTTGTTTTACACACAGCCAAATATTTATTATCATAAGCTGTGTTTAAAGAATCTTATCATTATGGAGAGAATGGTAAAAATTAGTAAGTATACTAAGTATTCATCCATTGCTGTGCAACTCAAAGTACTGTGTAACCATTACCTTGCGGGGTGTGGGGGGATCCTCACAACAGCCTGTGAGGAGGGATTATTACCTGACTTTTACAGATAGAGAAACTGAGGCTCAGAGTATAGCTGAGCTGGGCACTTCAGAGAGAGGACAGGCCCCAGGGTCAGGAAGTAACAGTTTGCTGAGGGGCCAGGTGACAGGCTGGCGGTGTCCTGGACATTCTTCTCATAGCCCCAGATACCCTCACACCAGGCCCACTCCTCATCTGAATAGTGAAGGAGGACATAGAGGTGACTTCTGATGTGTTATGTAATCAACATTAGTCACCTGGGGAGGCTCGTCAGTACCTTCCCCATTCTCAGGGGCCATGAGGCCAGGGACAGAAGGACTGTAGGCTTGTGAGACATCTTTGCTTATGGTAGATCATGCAGGTTTTTCAAGGTAGGTAGAGATAAATGGTGACTTGGCAGCTTCAAGAAACTTCCATATGTTTTCTCCTCTTTTACCCATCCATCCATCCACCTACCCACACATCCATCATCTGTCTAGCTATCCTATCCATCCATCCATCCACTTAGGCATCCACCTAGTCCCTCACCCATCCATTCACCCTTAAACATCCATCCATCCATCTGCTATCTACCTACCCATCCACCCCCTGCCACTCATCCACCCATCCACTCACCATCCACCTATCCATCCATCCGCCCATCCATCTACTCATTCCTTCACATGCCTACCCATCCTGACACCCAAGTAAAAAGAAAGAAATGGTCCAAAGGGAAGAAATCAACCAACCATCCAGCCATTTTATTTGTCCATGCTATGATCCAGGCCCAGTGCTGACCCTGGGGAGTCCAACACAGCCCAGACACTGAGGGGCTCCCGGCGCGTGGGGCCAGCAGGCTGTGGTCTCAGAGGCCTCTGAGTTTCACCAGCGTCTACGGGCACAGCATTCAGAAGTGCCGTCTCTTGATGGCTCAACACAATTGCCAAAGTTCCCTTCAGTCTGCCTTACACCATAAGCCAGCACCTGCAAGCAGAGATGCCTGGGACCAGCAGATGCACAAGAGCAGCCCACATGCACACACACCCTAAAGCTCTGAGGCACATGAAGAGGGACATGTGGGTAGCGGGGTACACATGTGAGCACATAAGATGGGTGCATGTCCACACCCCGGAACTGCTTGAAGGCCCAAAGTCATGTGACTACCCCAAGCATCCCTAAGCTCGTTCATGCGCTCACACACACAGAAATGCAAACGGGCACACATTAGGACATCCACAGTCTTCCGGAGGAGAGCTTTCCAGGTTGAGAGGCACCGGATGTAGGTGGATGCAGAGCAGAGGCCTCTTCCATACCGCTCTGCCAGCCTACCCTGGGGCTATGCAATCCAGGAAGCCTTGTTGGGCCCTGCTGCCCATGGGATCCCTCACCCCCGGGGACACACAGCAGGGGCAGGGCATCCTGGCGAGGAGCAGCTCCCTGAGCTGGCTTCTGCCAAGTGGCAATGAGCAGGTGACAGTCACACAATGCCAAGGGCTCGGGACTGCCCAACACACGGCGTGGCATGAGGTCACCACTCAGTGACCTTGTTCAAAAGGCCTGAGCTTAACAAGCTGAGGCTGGGGGGTGATTCCTCTTTTGGGTAATACCAGTGATACCACAGCCCAGGCGCTCCTTTTGCCAGACTGGCCAGCAGAACTTGAGAGCCCAGCTACGTGAGGGTCCCCGGGGGGCCTGGCCACACCCCCAGGCCACACCCCTCCTCCTTCCAAAGTGAACCAGAATTTAGAAGAAGCACAGGCCATGGAATGATACAAGCAGACTCCATATAAATAAAACATTCATATAAAAATAGTCTCTTACAAAATATCCAGTGGCTCACTTTCCAAAGGATGGAAACTGCTGGGCATTTGTTATTATCTTTCCTCTCTCTGTATACTCCAAACTGAATTTTTCTAGTGGTATAAGTCTGAGCTGGAGAAGACTAACGGGAGGGAAATGTATTCTGGAAAACATCTCCAAATCTGGACCAGCTTAAATTTCTGGATAAGTAGCAGCAAACAGCAAAAAAATATGTGTGTGTGTATATATATCTGTATATGTATAAAGGACACTCGCTCTTGTACTTAAACATCTACAGCTGCAAAGGGGAACTTTCAACTAGTAGAAATATCTGCGTAAAGAATAAGTATGTACAGTTCTACTCCGCTCCTTGTCCTAGAGACAAAATTACCCGCAAAGAAAGCAAGCTGTCCACTTTGCAGAAAATGGATCCCGACGAGGTGGAAGGATTCTTTTTAATTAAATAAATTAATATTATTTTTTTATCAGAATAAATTGTTAAATATTGCTATGTTGCAGCCCAAGGGTCCTGAGTCCTTTTGCTGTGAAAGGCTCGGCTCCAGCCGAGGAGCATCCCGGGCCGTGTCGGGGGTCGGGTGGAGCAGCACTGGTGTGGAATAGAACAGTCAGGGGCTCTGGAGAGAACTTTCCCACGGGTGCCTGCAGGAAACCCAGGGGAGGCGCCCCCACAGCAGGAAAGACAAGCTCGGCATTCCTGTGGGTCCCCGTGAAGCTCTGGGACGTGAACTGCCTCCGCGACTGCAGTTCGGTGCTGTCTGGTCCTCCCCGCAGTCTGACTTGCAGCTGGAGGCAGCCAACCCGGCCTCGGGCTCACTTGCAGGTGTACACCTCAGTGCGCTCGCTGCAGGTGTTGCACTTGACGTAGCAGCACCAGTGGAACTTGCAGTTGCACTGCCACACACGGGCATACTGGTGGGTGTTGTAGCCGCGGCCACAGCACATGAGGTCGCAGCCACTGGCCTGGGGCGCTGTCTTGTTGCAGGCACGGCCCTGCGTGCCCACACTGCCCGTCACTGGGTCCTCCTCACAGTAGTTGGGTGACTTCTCGATGTACACCAGGTCTGTGTCCATGGGCTTGCGGTAGGACAGTGGCTTCTTGATCTTCAGGAAGGTGGGCCGCTTGTTGCGGCTGGCGCGCACGGGCTCCACATGAACTGCTTCGTTGTACTTGTCCTTGAGCACGTAGCCCAGCTCTCGAAACTGCGGCAGTGTGGTCCAGCACGTCTTGGTGGTGCACGAGCCCGACACGCCGTGGCACTTACACTCCAGCTTCATGTTCTCCTCCAGGATCTGCAGGGGCGGGCGGGGAAGAGCATACGCACGTCACTGCAGGCAGCAGCCTAGTGCAGCCTCAGCCAGGCCACCCCTTACCCAGCCTAGCCGTGTCTGGCTTTTGTTTTTCTCTTTGGTGCGGGAAACTCAGACCTGCATTCAAATCCCTCTCACGTCCGCCCTTTGTGGTGTGCTTTCCACCTGGAACGTGCTTGCCCACCTAGCCTTCCAATTCCTATGTGGTCCTTAGATTGGCCCTTAGACCAGTTCAGCCCAGTCCAGACCACACATAGGTTCTTTTTGGCCTGCACAGGTTTAAAATAATTTCTGAACCAGGAATTTAAAAATCAGGAGACTTTAAAAGACAGAATTCCATGTTTTGGGGGGAAAATAGAAAGGACATCTGGTAACTTTGGAGGGATGTTCAGATGGTATAATACTGTTGCAGCTGGGTGCTGACTTCCTGACATAGAAGCTGGCCACAAATGCCAGCATGGCTGTCCTGTCCTGGCTCAACACAATCTCTGCCAGTGTTGTCACAGGGCAGCATGACCTGGTGCTGTACCAGCAGCTGCCTCCTTCACAGGTTGGCATTCCTTGATTTTCCACACTCCTCACCACTCCTTTTTGCCTCAACTGACCTCAAGTTGTGTTTTATCAGAGGTCATCTGCTTTGATCCCTTATGACACCTGACATGCCTCAGGGACATCGGAGTCTGGGAACCCCGGCTCTGATTTAACCCTCCCTGGCAGCTTTCCCTGACTCCTGTGCTAAATGATGTACCCCTTCTTCTGAGGATCTTCTTGATCCTGATACCCCTTGGGCTTCCACCCTCACAGCATGAGAGGCAGCATTGTATAAGAAATAAAAAGCATAGATTCTGGACCCTGGGCTTAAATTCCAGATCTAACTGTTTGCCCTTGGACAGCTTACTTTAGCCCCCTGTGCCACAGTTTACCTGTATACAGAATGGGGGTATAATAACAGTTATAATCCTACAATGAAATATTAGACAATAATGAAAAAGAATGAACCCCTAATATACATGGAAGGAACAGATCTCTAAGATCTAGTGCTGAGTGAGGGAAGCTGGACACAGGAGAACATCCTGGAGGATTCTGCTGTATGAGGTTCAAGGACAAGCAAAACTAGTGGCTGGGCTTCATTTAATCTTTATTTACATATATAAGCCATGGACCAGAGATGGCCCATGGGCTGTATTTTTCTGATCCCTGCTTTTGATACAGCAGATTTTGGTGATTTTGTTTTTAATCTTTTCTTTCCCTCTCTCCCTCCTCTCTTCTTCTTTTTAAAAATATTATATCCAATGTAAAAGGAAGTATCGTTGGAACTAAAGCTTCTCTTCCCTCCTCATCATTATCTTCCTTGAGCCTGATTTCACCCTAACAGACATTTCTGAAGCCCCTGCTGTGAACCCAGCACTGGGATGGGGGTGTACTAGTGAGTGTGGTTTCTGGGTCACAGTATGTCTAGAGGGTCAAATGGCCTTTGCCTGTTACCTAGTGAAAGAATTAAGTGAATGAGTGAGGGAAGACTGAGCATTCATTAATCATCTGCACACACCCTGGGCCTGGGCCTTTATATATGGCATCGTATTTAACTCCAGGAGGTTAGTATGATTCCATTTCACAGGGAAAAAATTAGGCTTGGCTAAGTCCTAGAGCTGGTTGATGAGGCATTCAGAGGCAGGGGTCTAATTGCCAAGGGGTGTGAATCCTGTGTGTGGTGGCTGCTTGCTTGCTTTGTGACCTTGGGCTTGACACATCCCCTCTCTGGGCCTCAGTTGCTTTCATTGAAACATGGCGTGAAGGCAATTCCATCTTCTCTGATAAATCAGGGTGCCAGTGCAGAATCAGATATTCAAAACATAGTCATTAGTTCTGCCTCTGGGCCTGGGCTTGTGAGGTGCTCGGGATAGAGAGGAGACAAGGTAAGGTCTGGGTATCCAAGGATGAGCCTGTGTTCAGGGTCCTCCCAGCCCTAAGAGCTCTGCTGGAGGAAGAGATGACCAGTGTTGGGATCAATGGTTTCCACTGGAAGAAAGGGCCACAATGTTTCAACCACAGTGTCTGCAATCAAATGAGCCAGCAATGCCAAAAGCATCCAGAATGTTCAGGGACAGAGATTCTGGTTGGCTGAAAACTCTGGTTCCCGGACACTGAGTGTGACAGCGCACCTACTGTGTGCCAGTGCCCTCATGCGACCTCCAGACATGTAGCTGGCACTGGATGAGCAGCCCCCCAAATAACACAGATGTCCCTCTGATTACCGATGAGGAGATAGTTCCTAGATTCCGAGCCCCCCTTCCACCTTGGCCTGAGTGTGGGAAAAGAATGAGGCTCAGAGGTGTCCCAGGGCACACTGGGGGCAGAGTTAGGCAGAACTACTGAGGCACCAGGGCCTGGCTGATTGCGATTTTAGCATAGTCAGAGACTTCAACAGAGATGCCTGGGGGGCATGCAGAACAAATTTCGATAACACTGAAAGTTGGCAAGGATGCAGAGCAACGGAAACTCTCACACGCTGCTGACAGGAGTGCCAACACAGCAGAGTGTCTGATAAAGCTGAAGACTTATGGACCTATGACTCAGAAATTTCACTTCGAAGGTGTCTGCCTCGGAGCATCATATGCTTGTGTGCACAAGAAACAGCCTCGAGGATTCATAGCAGCAGCATGCATGATAGCCCCACCTTAGGCACCGTCCAGATGGCCATCGCGGTGGAATGGGTAAACTGAGGTGTGTGTACACGAGGGGACACTATGGGACGGTGACAAGGAAAGGCTATGGCGTTCCACTCCACCAGAGGTCAAACGTAGAAATATAGTGATGAGGGAAAGCAGCAAGTCTAAAAGATTTCTGCAGAATGATTATCTGTGTCAGGTTCAAAGGTTGACCTAAAGGTTGAAAATACAAAAACCAGATTGTATTTTGGGGGCATCTACAGAAGGGGAATCTCTAATAAATAAAGAAATGAGGGGCACAAACATCCAGACAGTGGATATTTTAGCTGACAAAAGGTTTCAAAGGAGTGCTCCACTTTTGGGTAGTGGGGGTCATCTGTACAGCACATCTTCTCGGTTCCTGCAGAGACAAGTCCCCGGAGCTGGGAGGGCAAAGAGCTGTAGTTGGCACTAGTCACCTGGGGGGGACTCTGAGGTGCTCACAATATTCTGTTCCTTGATATGGGTGCTTTATGATTATTCTTTTAAAGCAACATAGATGTTCTAGGTGCCTTTTGCACATAAGCTGTATCTCACAATTTATAAAAATGCAATGGGTACTATAGCCAATAAGCACACGAAAAGATGCACAACATCATTAGGCACATAGCTTTCCTCTTCCTCTGCAGCCACCAGTGGCCGAGGGCTATGACTGCAGTTGTGTGGGCCCCTAATCAGATGATGTTCAGCCCATTAGCCCTGTAAACTCTGCATTTTGAGAGCCTCAGTGACCACATTATGTTCCCCACCAGGCTGGGCATAATCACAGCTGCCCTGGCCAGAACTGGCCACCCACCTGGGCACCTAGCCCTCTCCCCGAGGCAGGGCACAAAGGCACATTCTTTTCAACTTCAGTCCCCCCTCCCTGAGGCCAGGCTGGCTACCAGCCTCTGAGCTGCCCAGGGTGGTATCCAGAGCTCCCTTTACACTTGAAGATTCTGGATCATGATTCAGCATCTGGTGGTCAGAGGATTTGCTGACTCTCAGATGACATGACTCTATGCATCTTCCTGGTGCCTGGCACACAGCAGGTGCTCAGAAAATGCCCAAAGGTAAATTCGCCAACAGGGTGCATCCAAACTTTTCCATGATTGATATGCCCTGGGCCAGAGCAACCATCCTGAATTTCAGGGTCATGGAGGTCCTACCTGGCTGGGCATCGACCCTGCGCTGCTGGATGGAGGGGAAGTTGGGGAGGAACTATAATAGGGGAGGGACAACTCGGGGCTTGGAGCAGCTGGTATGGACTGATGTCAATATTTTGCACCCCTTTTGGATCCCAGCTTAATGACCAGCCACATAAGACTGCATGGGGTTTGCCATTTTTCCATCCTGTGACGCAACGATGTCTCAATGCAAAAGGAAGATAAACAAGAAAATAAATTTGTGAGGCCCACCGTCTGGTGTCTCCCGGGGTCTCTGGAGAACATGGAGTTCTGCTTCTGGTCTGGGGTCTGAAAACCACAGGAAGCCTCAATGACATTCTGAGGGAGCTGTGTTCCCTTCTCCCCTCCACCTCCACCCCTGGTCATCTCTGCTGGTCATCAGTGCAGGGCTGGGGACTCACCCTTGCAGGAACTGAAGGGATGTACTGAGCACAGGTGACTCCCACTACCCCAGAGTAAAGCATTCCTGTGAAACCTTTTGTCAGCTGGAATGACTTAAAGGGAAGAAGCAATTACCATTAATTTACATGGAAAAATGTTTTGAGTGTTCCAGACCCAAGAAGTCACCTCTTAGGCTTTTCTGATACCTTCGGACACAGCTTGCTAACGGATATGCAAATTGAGATAAAGCCCAGAGGCTCCCAGACACAGCTCCCGAGCTCTTGCGCCTGGAGGCTGAGACACTGTGTGGTTCTAGGGGAAGGAGCTTGGGGGGGCCCTGCCCGCTGCTCTGGGTGCACACTGCCTCTGCAACAGCTCCCTGCAAAACAAACCCTGAATGCTGCTTTTGCTTGTCATATCTTTCTGTAAAAGCAAAAATCCTCTTCGGATTTCCTTCAGCTAGTGAAAACAGGTACCAGTGTAGGGCTTTTGTAAAAGCAAACTTGTAAAACATGAACTTTTGAAAAGTGGGGGTGCCTGTACCTACTGTGTGCTGCCACCATGTCACGTCGGGTTGGGGACTCGACGCATTCTGTGGAGAGAGGGGCAACAGGCAACTGGTTTAAATACTAAAATGAGTGAGAAGAAGAAAATGGGGCAGGCTTAGGGACTGGAGAGCAAGGGAGGAGGTGGGGAGGCTATGTGACACCGACGATAGGTGACATTTGAGCAGATGCCAAGTGGAACCCACGAGGAGGCCAGCCTATGGAAGCACAGACTCATTCCCTTGTTGCATTTCCACCTGAAGGACAGCAGAGCAGGGCCGTGGCCATGTGGTTGGACTGTGGTGACCTGGGGCTGCAGGTACAGGTGGGGGGTCCTATCCTACAGGCTCCAGGGGCCATGTTAAGGAGGCTGGACATTTTTCTAATTCGATTTAAAAAATTTTTGTTTTTTAAAACACTTCAATATTTACAGAAAAATTGTGAAGATAGTAGAGAGAGTCCCCATAGAGCCTGCTTCCAGCTTCCCCTATTACTATCTGACATTAGTACAGAGAATGCTACAGTTAATGAGTTAATACTAGTACATTATCATTAACTCAAGGCCATACTTTATTCAGATATCCTTTGTTTTTACATAATGTCCTTTTTCTGTTCCAGGATCCCATCCAGGCCACCCCAGGACATTGAGTCATCCTCTCTCCTTGGGCTAGGAGATGGGATTTTATTGTGAGGGGCAGGGAAGCCAGTGGAGGCCAGGAACAAGATTTATGATCTAACAGATCTCACATTAGTCGTCACAAATGTACTACTCTGGAGCACAGAGACTGTGTGGGGGTGGGGGGATGGGGATCTATAGGGATCTCTGTACTCAATTTTCTATGAGCCTCAAACTGCTCTGAAAAATAATTCTATTTTAAAATATATATCTTAGAAGAGAAGCTGAATGCAGGGACTGTCTCTGGAGTTGACGTTTGGCTGTCTGTGCTGCTAACTGGCTGGGTGCCCTTGCCGGGCCTGTGCTTCCTCATTTCCAGCTCAAGGGTTTGAACTAACTGATATCCAAGGCTGCTTCTCACCCTCTCTTTGAATCTTGGCTTGGCATCCATTCTGCTCTGAACCTTTACAGAGTGTTTTCAGAGCCCTGATGACACCTGCTTTTCCTGACCCCTTGAGACATGGGCATTTTCATCCCATTTCACAGATGAGGAAAGTCAGGCTCAGAGAAAATAAAGGATGTAAGATGATAGAGTGTGCTGGAGCTCCTCCGTGTCTCTCCAGTCGGCTCCCCCACTTCCTCCTCTTGCTTCATGCCCCAGGACCTGATGATTCCTCTTGGTGATTGGTTGAGCCTGATGCATTAGTGGTCCTGGGATCGTCTCAATACACTGTGTGCTTCCATGGGGTCAGGCCAGTGGAAGGCACTGGAGGGAGGTCAGAGGGCAGGAGGAAGGTCCAGATAGTTACTGCTCCTGCTCGCTGCCCTCTGGGCCCCACAGGATGGCTGTTTTCCTGTAGAATACCCAGGATTCGAGCAGGCCAACCTCCTCACCTTTCAGGCCTAAGGAGTAACAGCTCCCTTTTGTTGCCAGCCCTGGGGCTGCACCAGACCTTTTGGTAACTTTGTCCTTTGTTACATGTGCAGTCTTTTTTTTTTAGCCTTATTGCAATATAACTCACACTATACAATTCACCCACTTCGAGTGTACAATTCAGTGGTTTCTGTATATTCAGAGACGCATAACCATCCCCACCATCTAATTTAGAACATTTTCACCTCCCTAAAATGGGACTCCATACCCATTAGATGCCAATTCTTCCTGATCTGCCCTGGGCTACCACTGATCTACTTTCTGTCTTTATATATTTGCCCTATTCTAGACATTTCATCTAAGTGGACAGCATTCCTTTCCATGGCTGAATAATATTCCACTGTGTGGACATGCCATGATCTAGTCATACATTTGTCACTAGTTGGACAAGAGTCTCTTCTTTAAACTCCCCTTAACCTCCCAGTCTGAGTGGCCAGACCCCAGCAGCCACATGACGCTGCTTTGTGGCAGAGCCGAGAGGGAGCCCCATCCTCTTGACTCCTGGGCCCCTCTGTGCTCTTTCCTCTGCTTCCACCTCTCAGCTCTGCACCTGCTTGTTCCTTATCGGGAAGGCCGATCTTTACTGCCATCACAGATGCTGGCCCGATGATCCCACCACTGTACATGTACCCTCCGGGGAGGCTTGCACACTCGCACAATGCCAAAGAGCCTCACTGAGGCACTATCTGGAATATCAAAAGGCCAAAAGAATCTAAAGGTCCACCAGTGGGAACTGGTTATATGAATTCTGGCACATCTATAAACTGGAATGTCCTGCAGCTGTTGGAATGAGGCAGCTCTGTACTTACTAATGAGGGCTGATCTGCAAGATACATGGTTAAAAGACTATAGCAAGGTGCAGAAAAGTATGCAGAGCATGAGCTCATTTATGTGAGAAAGACCTGTGCATGTGTGTTAGTAAGAGTACAGAAAAATACCTCTGGAAAAATACATGGGAAACTGGTAAGAGTGGCTGTTTCTGGGGTAGGGGTACCCAGTGCCAGGGGTCCATGTAGACAGGAGCCTTACTTTTCATGGCATTGCCTTTTGTACCTCTGAATATCACGCCATGTCAGAAAAAAAGTCACCTGCTCCACAAAGCCTTCCTTGACGGCCAGGGCAGCCCGCAGCTCCCTCATGGCTTCCACCGTTGTCCCGGCTGTTGGGTCACCTTGGCCCAGTGTTGACTGTCTACCTGTCAGGCCAGCAGCTCCATGTAGTGGTTGGACAAACTGCTAGTAAATTGGCTCTCAGAAAAGAAAAAGCCACGTTTGGCTGTGTTTACCAATTTCTGTGGGGTAAATGCTCCCACCACGGCTGATTTTAAGCTACCAGTGGTTTAACAATCAGCTCACAAATCCCTCCATCTTTTATGCTAGGTCATGTGAGTCCACAGGAGCAGGCACCAGAGCATCACAGACTGTAGTACAGTCAGCAGCCTCCAGCCTCCAGCTGTCAGATCTACAGGGCCTGTCCCAGCTGCAGAGAGTGGCAGCCTTCCCTGGTGGGCCAGAGCTGGGGACTGAGAGGCAGGGGTCGAGGGTCTGGCTGCTTTGATGGTCGTACCAGCTCCAGAGTTCCAATGAGGCTTTGCCTGGCCAGCCCGGCAGCTCTGCTTCCACCAGTCAAGCTCCTCCCCTTTCCCTTTTGATCCCTAGTAAACAGCTTGACCTGGGACTCCATCTCAGCCAGTGCTTCTGGAGAACCCCACATGCGACACTGCTTGGAGGCCAGGGCATGCATCTCTACCTCCCCAGCCCCTGGCAGAGCACCCGGCATGGAAAAGGCACTGGCCAGTTGCAGGTGTTGAAGAAGGACCTAGTGTGTGCCTGTTTATAAGTGGCTTTTTCAACTGGCTTGCTTACTTTGCATTGCGCACCTACAGTGTGCTATTTGGTATCACCTCCCGCCTGTGGAAGCTCTGGGAGGACTTAGACACCAGCAAGTGCTGTTCCTGCCTTCTGTGGGCCTAAGTCAGAATTGGCCAAACTGAGCGGCAAGGGGAAAGGGCATTTCAGACCAGGAATAGCACATGCCAAGGCCTGGAGGTTGTAGAGATGTGGCCTACCTGCCCATGGGAGGAAGGGGAGGCGGCAGGCCCAGCTGGGGCCAAGGGAGGGTGGGTAGGGGAGCTGGGAGGCTGTGGGGCTGGCCATGCAGGGCAGGGGAGCTTCTAGGTTATCCTGGAGCCAAGGTGGGCCCCTGAGGAGCTTTCTTGCAGGGGTGACATCATCCTATTGACACCTTTAAAGATCATTCCAGATTGAATGGAAATTAGGTTAGAGGAGATCAGAGTGGCCAGACGGGGACCGGAGGAAACCGTCCCCATCACCCAGGCCGCAGGTGGTGGTGGCTCTGACAAAGAGGTCATCAGGGGAGGGGACAAAGGGAGTGAAACCAGCAGTACCTGGTGGCGAATGATCGCGGTGTGCTGTGAGGACCCAGGGGCAACTCATGGGCATCTGAGGGATGTGGAGGCCGTGCTCCAAAACAAGGGACCTGAAGAGGCACCAGCTGGGGAAGAGCATGCATCACGGGCGTAGTGGGGGAACTTCAGCATAGTGAGCGGCCAAGAGGAGCGGCATCTGGGAGTACCAGGGTCTTTTGGTGCCGCTGAAATAGGTGATAATGTGAGTGGAGCCCCAGTCACTTCCTTGACTAAAACATGTGGTTGAAATCAACCAGAAGTGATGTAAGTACCTATAATTTTTGACACTAGAAAAAAAAATTGTTTGCAAAAACACAAGGTAGGAGAGTGTGAGAAAGATTAAAAGCTTTAGATGACTATAAGTTCAGTATGAATAGTATGCTGCTAAAAAGCCACTAGTCAGTCACTAGAGGCCATATTAACTGAGGTCTAGTGCCCATAATAGGGAAGGAGATTGCTATGTGATTTTTTTTTTTTCAGAACTTTTTCAGCTGTGCCCCATCAGAGGGACAAAAACAGATAATGTGTTGGGGAGGGGGCTGGAGATCCCACACTGAGGAAGCTGAGCTGTGGAGCCAGGGCAGGCAGTTTTGTGTTTCCCTGGTTATTGCCCCTGAAGCCTCTCCCAGGGCACATGCTCTGCAAGCCTGTCCCCACACAGGGTGAGTGGCAAAGAGTGTGCATCCACACAAAGGGCAGAACTGGGGCCCTAGTTGGAGGGGCGTCACAGGGCAGCAGATTCCCAGTCAGTGAGAAGCCAGCCCTCCCCACCAAGCTAAGAGCTGGATGGGGTGGCTGGGGAGGTGATGAGCTCCCTGTCCTGGGAGTGTGTGGGAGCAGCAGCTGGGGTCTGCAGTGGGGATTCCTGCACCAGGTGGGGCAAGGCTGCTCCTGATCTGCTTCTCTGTCTCCCAGCCTGGCCCCAAACCTGTCTGGAGAGCAGGAAGGATTTTCCGCACCGCTGGAGGGAGAAAAATCAATCTCTTTCTGACAGGTCCCCCAGGAAGTGCCAACAATGTACCAGGTGCTGCCCAGAGCCCAGAATTACCCAGGGTGGGGTTCTTAGGCC